CACAAATTATATCATCATCACATCCCCATGACGATCATGACGAAGTACCCAGCATATATTTCCATTAGATCCTCATACAAAACCACCCATGATGCCACTGGGATCCCGGCCCCAGGTGGTAAAACCTTCAACGTCGGGGGCGCCTTGCTCCACCGCCTCGTGCCATGTCGCAGGGCTGGCGAGGCGGGAATCCACTTGGAACGATGGGGATGATATCAATCACAGCATCAAACACGAAGATATGATACTTACTTTGCATATAAAAAAATATGAAGATGTAAAAAAATGTATCTACATCTAAAGTAGATGATATGCTATGATATGTGTAAAAATGTAAAATTATATAGAGATGTATCTCATCTCTATGATTCTATCGGACTTGTGGATGCCAGGGGGTTCCCAGCGATGGCTTACACGCCCAGCGGCTCGCTGCCGCAGGAGAGGCCGACATGGCGTGATCATGGCATGTGCGTGGGTTACAGTAAAACATGGTGCAGCAATGGGTGCAGTAAGTTTAGTATGACACATTCTTAAGCCACATTCTTTGCGGTGGAAAATGATTGATTGTGACATATTGTGACCCATAGCTTGCACAAACAATTCTTGATGGGTTTCACAGATTCAGCAGCTTCTTGACGGCTGGGATGGTCGCCTTCCATCCCACCTGGGAATCTGGGAAAGTTCACAGGCATTGCTGGAAGCATTGGGCAGTCGGGAGGCGGGGCGGAAAGTCGGAACTGATCCGAAGTCTTTGGAATGTGGATGATCAACCGGAGTGTATTAAAACATGTATTTTCCACAGTTAGAAAGTCAGCTTTTGCACAGCCAGCATATTCAGCAGGGTGAATCGGTGGATTCATCTGGATGCACTGGCAACTCAGCCATCCTCCTATGGTGATCCGAGGTGAGTTGGCAGCCAGCAGCAGCACCGATAGCGCTGGTTGGTCTCCGTGACCGGCTCATGCCTTTACTCATTCCTTTCCATCATTTTCAGTCACAACCCCCTTGTGCAAGGTAGCAAAACCTATGGCCCGCGATATCCACATTTTGACGATGTAGGCAGCAATGCAGCAAAGATGTCCTGGTGGCTTTGGAAAAGTATCGATAGCATGGCAAAGAATGTACCCTCCTGAGCTCAAGTCATACATGAGTTTCTGTTTTGAACTCAACAAGTCTTGCTGCCTTGCGGGGAATTCGAGTTTGAGGAACTGCCATCATCAAAAGTATCTTTTGCAATCACCGCAGGTGTTGACCACGGGAAAACACATTGCTTCCAGCGTCAATCTCAGCCTTTCGCCAGCGCTTGTTTCCCAGGCAGATTTTTGTTCACATCGGATGTTTGACTCAGATGACCAGCTCAGGGCACTTTGTGTGGAAGGACGCGAAGGCTGGCCCAATAGGATGCTTTGGGATTGTCCCTTTTTGATCCTTTTTGGACATTTCCACATATTTCATCATATTTCCACTAGATTTACCCTCTGGTAAACTAACATAACTATGGAAAATCACCATGTTTCATGGGAAAATCCACTATAAATGGTGATTTTCAATAGCTATGTTAGTCATTACCAGAGGGTACCATACAATTCATTGCACCTCAGATGATGTTTGCGTCAGGCCACTTGACCAGTGCCGTAGCTGCCCGGGCAGCTCAGCGACCGTCGCAGGTGTTTCTGGCGGATGTTGGTTCCATTGCGTCTATGACTGATGGATGGATGATCCATTTCCGTAGGTACCTGTACGTACTGTTTAAAGATCTTTAGAAATAGAAGTTGGACCAGACACAAGGCTGCTTGACGGTCGACGGCGATGCTGCTGCTGATTATGATTCGTGATGATTCATTATTCGAGTGATTTCTATGCGCCTGGGCTTGCAACACGCGTTGCAACACCCGAGGCGCTCCAGGTTCATGTCGGAGATCCGGGAGATCCTGAGACCTTGCGTTGGGTGAACTCAGGAGGGGATGGAACCGGCGCATAGTGACTATAGTGCACTTGCAAATGCGAGGTGCTTCGTTTGCCTTGACCCATCCAGAATTCAGATGATTTAGAATGATTTAGATGTGTTTGAGTGGTCAGTATTTTGAGAGCCTTTTTTGCCAATGGCTTCTTTTGCAAGACTGTCTGTCTGATATTGTCCGAGATGAACAGCTGAGAAGAACATAGAAGAAACGCCGCTAAACCACGTCAACTGGCTGCACTTTGACACCAACTTACTGTAGCGGTGGATCTGTGCCTATATCATAGGAAGATGCCGGATACATCCGGATATATCCGGATATATCCCGATACTGTATGTGGGTGGTTCTAGGTTTAGATCCGCCACAGCACTTAGCCCAGAGACGGTTTGATATTGCTTGCAGTTGCAGATTAGGTTCAAATCTGTCAGGTCCCTGTGAACATCCCATCCGCACCCGCTGGCACATTGCAGGACAACACAATTATCTGGAGGTGCGAAACTGCAGGGATTCACTGCAGCGAAGATGCGCCATAAAGGACAGTTTTCTTGATGTCTTCCCGAGGGTCCAGTGTTTTTTTTTTTACTTAACCAACTTGGGAAAAATCCTGACTGGCGGATATGTCGCAATATGTCGCAATATGTCGCAATATGTCGCAATATGTCGCAATATGTCGCAATATGTCGCAGCTGCCACCAGGTTTTAGTCCAAAGACCTGACTTTACTCCATGCTTTCAGAACGTGGGTGCCTCAGATCAAGGAGGCAGGCTGAGCAGGCTGATGGAGATTTGGGACTGTCGGAATCAAAATCTCCTCGTGATCAGATGCTGAATACTAGATATTCATAGATATTCAGATATTCATCAATCAGCACATTATAATATTCAAACATATTCAAAATGGTATCCTTTTGGGGCTCCAAGCCAGCTCCAAGTCTTCTATCGAGATCCAAAGAGCGCACGATGTTTCTAGGATCTGCCACAAGTCCTTATCGGTTGCGTTTTGATCACTGCGAGAAGAGCTACTAAGTAGTTACTAGCACTACAGTACAAACACGCGAGTTCCGAGGGCCTTAAGTTTTGACCCATACGTACATGATCACACGAGACTCCGACTGGCTGGTGTCATGAAGCAGGTGACGGTGTATTGTTGAACAATACGAGTCTACATAGCATGCTGCATATATCATGTACATCATCTGTGATCAGCTGCAACCAAGTTGACTAAGGAGACCTTCAAACTGACAAGGGAAGACTGGCTGATTCTTTGTGCCCTGGTCTAAAGAGTCCGGGCTGTTTGGGGAATGTTCCCAAGGAGCGTGCTGGGACTGTTGTGTTTGGACTTTTTACATCTTTTTACACTCATATATTCATACATATACCTAATGTATACATAATGTATACATACATATGTATATATATATATATATCTATTTAACACGTTCCTTTTGGGCTTGGACTCTGTCTGAGACAGGCTGGTTTGACACACAGCCTGATGGTCCCAAGGCCGCTGGACTTGGGACTTGGGATGACTTGGGTATTTACAAAGATGCAGGACATGGATGAAGCCGCATGAAACATCATAATTGTCATAGGAAACAGGTGTTTTTTTCTTTTTCCAAACAATGCAGAGCGCTGTCTACCTAATTGACTGACTGTGTCCAAGGTCTCAAAGTACATTAATCAGATGTCCCATGCCACCATGCTTCTCTTACATGATGCACCACTGTGAATGTGAGTAAGAGATGGTAAGAGCAAACCATTTTGCAGGTGGTAAACTTTGACCTTGAGGCGCTGGGGTAGCTGCTTTCTGTGATAGGTGATAGGAGTTCAAATCTTCCATCCACGTCTGGAAAATAGTAAAAGCCAGACAAACATCCCAAAGTGGAGTAACCTATTGATTATATATTGATTCTGTGTCATATTATTTGATTTTTGGCATGTTCATTAGGGTACCAAGGGTTTGACCCATACCGCCACATCCATTGTTTTCACAGACACCTTTGAGTACGGCGTGACAGGTGGCGGCCATGCTCCACTTTGGAGTGCGTGACAGGCGAGGGCCATAGCCATCGACCAGGAACATCAGGGAATCTGCATGCGAAGAACACATGATCTCTTTCTCTGTTGAAAGAGTTGCATGTATGATCCCTGATTGATCCTGTATGTGTGAGATTTCAAGGTTGCGCAATTAGCAGTACATGTTTTGATTTCATTTGTATGCCTTTGGGCCTTGGAGTGGTGTATCAGGCGGCAGCTGCATCATCCCCTGCCACCCTTCGTGCTGCTCGGCAAACATCAAGTGTATACAAATCTTGTCAGGAGACACCAGGTTCAAAGATGTTCAAAGATTTTCAAAGATGTGTTTGACCGAACCAGCCAACTTTGAAGATGTTTGAAGGACTCCTTGGTGTTCAGCAGGCCTGCTTTCTGTTCAGCACCGCTTCACCGATATGGACCGATTCAGAGTCCGAGGTGTCAATGTCTCTTTTTCCATGACCTGCGCCTTTCAGAGCTGGAGGTGTTTTTTGGGGGGTTCCCAGGGTTCCCGGCCCAGGATGGCAATGAGGGATGGCCATGTCTGCCATTTGTCATGACAGAACATCACACATGACTTCTGTTTCTTTTTCTTCATGACTTAAAGCTGTTGAATGGGCTAAGCTTGTTGTTATGGCTATTGCTTTTGAGGTGAAGCAGCGGTTTATGAGTTGCTTCTCTTCAATGTTTGATGATTTGTCGCCGAAGAAATGATGCAGCCAGACATGGTGCAATAAGACTTCTACCGTTGGTTAACCCCAAAGTCCAACAAATGATTCACTTGCCCTGACAGGATATCACAGGGAATCACCACAGAAATCACCCTCAGCCATGGAGGAAGTCCTTATAGTCCTTGAGCCTAGCATTTCTGATAGGAGTCGCCAATCGATCCAGCCCTGGTCATGGACATTGTTTGGAAGGTAGGGACTTGGCATCCTGGGGGTGTCGTGGGTGTTGCCGTTTTTGGACAACCGGGATGGGCTGCTCAGCTCTTGCTGACTCGTCACATGGATCAGTAGGTCACCCGCACAGTGCTTAGGGCGTGAGCTGTGATGACTTCCAGTCGTGGATCGTCTGTATGCCATGGTATAACCCAGGTTTATCCATTATTGATTATAAATAATGGATAATAATAATGGATATCCATTTATAATTATCCATTATTCCTCTCTCTCTCTCTCTTTCTCTGTGTCTCCGCAAACTTGGTGCAGTGTTGCAGCCTCTTGTGGGAATTTCCCCACGTGAGGTTTGTGGTGAGGAGATCCTTCTAGAGGCCTTTGAAATGGAGGCTCTAACTGGTTGGCCATATCCGAAGTCCATAAAACAGTTGCCCCATCTAATATCATCTAATATCTAGGGGTCCATAGTTTGTGTTTCAAATTGATCCTTGAGTTCAAACTTCTCAAAGGTTTCACCTGGCAATTTGGTGGCTGGGCAGGACGCGCTGATCCCCGCGGGCCAAAGGCACTGGAGGCAACCAGCGGTTGCACTGGTGACTCGCAATACCATCCTTTTGTCTGGCTACTGGTGGGTCCGTGATATCAGCATCATTGTTATCATTCTTATCATTCTCATCCTTATTATCCTCATCATTCTCGTCATCCTCATCACCACCACCATGACACCATCAGCATTCACCAGCATATGTTGATTAGCCGTGCATGATTCCTGCCCCACAAATCTGCGTCCAGCCACCCACCAGGCTCATTTTTGCCTCAGTGGCAAGTGCCCTGGATGAGAGGATGGCTTACGCCTCCTACCAGGCCGGAGGGGAACCCCCTTTTGGATTTTTTGAGCTGATGCGAATTAAGCAGAAGCTGTTTGGGATGATCTGAAGCTCCTCCAATGTAGAGATTTGAACACTGCTCAATTTAAAGCTGGGTGGAAGAATGTGTTCAAGCCTGCCTACTTCAGATTTTCAGTGGGCAGTTTGGAAGCAGGACTCATGGTTTGTTTGAAAAAGTGTTCGATGAAGCCCCTCACTTCCAGATCCCATTTTTTAATGTCAGGCTGTCCGACGAGCTGCTGCTGAGAACTCCATGACGCTCTGTTGAGAAAAAAGGAGCGAATGCAATGTTTCCGATGGACACTGCAGATGGAAGCAATGCAGCCCTGAAAAAGGAAAGGCAAAAGGAAGAAACCACAGTTTTTCTGTCCAAATTCAAGAATTCTGGCAGTGCCCCACGCCAAGAGCCTCAAAGGAGAGGCACTATGCGGCATGAGATTCTATCAATCCCCACCCTCAAAAGAACGTGTTGCAATTCTCCAGTGGCGAATTCCCTAGAATGCTTTGCGAGGTATAGACATGTGGACACTTTGTCCATCATCAACGTTCCAGAGATGGAGAACTTCATTGGATACTGGTCAGGGATCCCCAGAGCTGCGAGGGGCAGGAGTGTTGTGACTGGGGATCTTTCTGTCATGTAATATCACTATCATAGCATCATATCGCCCACAATCTGCAGGAATATGCCATAACCATTGTGTCATATATAACATATCATATAATCAGATATCATACATCATATATCATGTAACATGTATCATGTATCATATATCATATCATATAATTAGATATCATGCATCATATATCATGTAACACGTATCATGTATCATATATCAAATATCATATACAGTATCATACAATACATTATATATATCATAGATCACATATCATAAAACATCTATCACATATCACATATAAGATATCATATCATCATTCTCAAATCATTTTTCAGGAATGGAGTTCTGCTGGAAAATGCCATGCAGCGAACTGGCTTCATGTATGGCTACTACTTAGAGGACCTGGCTGCGCAAAATCACTGAGCTGGATACACGGTCGTTGGACGGCCGGGTGGCCATCATTGTGCCTTGATGATTAAAAAGAAGTCAGCTTGGAGAAAACTCATGAAAACTCGCTAGCGACGCATCTTTGAAAATTGGACCAAATCCAAAGCCGCTAGCGACGAGGAAAACTGCGCAAATCTCTTGCATCTGGCTGCAGTGACCTATCTTCGTATCTTAACCTCTTGACCTTGGGCCTATCGATACAGATCTAACCACTCTGCTGGCAAGGACAAAAACTATGATGAGGGTACTCGCGCCATCATGGAGGCTCAATCTCCACATGTCATGGGCCGATCTCAGGAGGATGATGAAGCCTCGGACCATTGTATTTGTTGATATGGCTATGGGTCAATACCTATAGATACCATTTTTAGTGGGATGAACATCCATTTACAAGCTATTTTGATGTGAACTACAGGGGTACAAGGTTTTGACACACTGCCATATGTGGAACCATGTGGAACCCATTCATCATGCCGTGGATCAATGCCTAGATCCTCTGGGCCTAATCTCAATGGTTTGGCAGGGCATCTACGAGCCGTCCCAAGAGTGCCTTGGTGCTGGAGAGGGCCCATGAATGGCAGCCGGCATATCTTTACTCCGCCTGGTTGTGCATACCATCAGCAAGTTGACAGTCAATGAATGGAATGGATTCAAAAGGTACTGCATGTTTGAGCCAAGCTTCATTCAAAGCGGAGTCAATAAATGAGACCCCTGCTTGATTCTTGTTTTTTTGGTTTCAAGAAATGTATTTGACATCTCACATTTCAGTATTTGCTCAGGATGGTGGGCGAAATAGCTGAACCTCTGACAGACGACCAAGAGATGAGCAGGGTAAACAGGTGGGTTTAGGGATACGCAGCACAGGTTGATGAATCTGTTGGACCAGGTACTGTCAGCGATCATGCTTTGGGGAAAAACATGGAAGACCTGGGCTTCAAAGTTTGACATAGGATCAAACAAAGATTCAAAGGATGCAGTATGATCAACCCTACACGATGGTTTTTTCTTCTGGTTTAGTTTCCCAGCTGCCATCAGGATAGCAGAAGCCCTGGGCCTTGAATGCATCGGTTGGGTTTTCACCTCGTTGCCTCTGGACAGCCCGGGCGCCATCTGCCACTGCTGTGGAGAAGCTTGTATGGATCCTTATCTCCAATGCTTCCAGTCCAAAGCTGCAGTCAACTAGTAATTTCAACATATAACTCGAAGTTTTTTTTGTTTAATCAGGTGAACATATTTTTCCATTAATTTCATGATTCATCATACTACTCATCATATTGAACTATATTGAACTATTCACATATTTTTTAGGTTAACTATTGCAGTACTTGGTTTTAAAACGATTGCGGTTTTCCACCACGGTTGCCACGCTGCTGGTTTTCGATCTCCAGGAGGATGACCTTCTGTTGTCCCCGGAGGAGGTACTTCGGATTGCCAGGCGGCTTTGAAAGTTTGGTAAAACCGGAGATCGGAAGAACTGAAGGATACTGAAGGTGATGAAATCTGTGATGAATCTGTGATGAATCTGTGATGAAAAGGTGATGAAAAGGTGATGAAAAGGTGATGAAAAGGTGATGAAAAGGTGATGAATATGTTTCAATCCTTCTTGATGCAATAAAAAAAAAGGAACCGACAAACCGAGCGGCTGTATGACTTGGACGGCAATCTTATGCCAGGATTTCTCTAGTTGACTCCGATGATTCGCCGGCCAGTGGTTCCTGGATTCCCTGGTGCCTACTTTGGACAGCCCCCTTGGTGGCTTCATCAATGAATGCATAAAAAAGTCCACCAGCAGTCCCAAGCAGGGATCATCATTGCTTATGGTTTGAATGGCTGCAACAGTGAACATGTGCCACATTGTGCGCTTGCAGTGTCAGTTTCCCTGCAGGCTGCAAAACGAACACTCAACCGATGCACATTTTACAAGGCCAGGGTCTTCTGGGTGTCCCTTGGACAAATTGAAGTGAGGAGCCCAATTCATGTTGGCTTTGTTGCATGATAATTTGATTTTTAATGCACTGACACATGGGTGTCCCCCGAGTAAGAACGGTTTCTGGGTGTGTATTGAAAGCAGTAGGCCGCAAAAAACATAACTCTTTCGGTTTGCTGTCGCGAAATCACCACATTGACTTACTGCAATTTCCAGCAACTAGATTATATATGATTATGCATCATGATATATTCAAGAGTCAACATGGCTAGATATTTCTGTTCATTTCTGGCTAAGTCACAGAAACATATAGAAACCACGTGCGGATCTCAATGGTTGCAGGTATGTCCTGTCCAAATTCGTGACCTGCGCCGTGCGTTTGGATGTCCAAATCATGGGGATGAGGAGCCGGTTTCCAATGTTTTCCATGGGATCTTGGAGGTCGGAGGTCCCTTGTTATTTTGCTGACCATGTTGAACTGGAGTTGACCTACCAAAGTGACAACCCAGTCTGTGCTGTCAATTCAGAGTCTCGAGCACCCAACCAGTTCAACCAAGATCAACCAAGGCCCGGACCCTGCAAATAACGGTGCCCCAAGCGTCAATCCGTTCATGGCCCGGGGCCCCTGGGGTTGAGGGGGGCCCCTGGGTGGTGATTTCTGGATGGGTCTGGGGATCCTCCGTGAATCTACCTTGACAATCTTGACACCTGGCAATTGGAAATCCCCCATTTGTTTGCACACTCATGCATATACATAATTATAATTGATAATAAATATACAGCCATGTTTGATTACCAGATTGCACTGGGGACCTATGGGCCCTGGATTGCGATGGCACCAGGCTCCGCCAGATTTCAGGTTTCCGAGCAAGCCTGTGCCATGCTCCGGGATGGCATTCTTAGCAGCGCTCCTTCTGAACGACGCGCCTGCCTGGTGCGTGAGGCGGTGTCGCTGTGGCACCAGCGGTGATGCCATTGAAGCAAGTGAGCTCAAGTGGTTTGAACACGTTGAAACAAGATCTCAACTTGAGTTGAAACGAGTTGGAAACAAGTTGAAACAAGGAGATTTTCCTTGAAGGGTTGTAGGTACAGGTTCCCATGGCGTTGGCTCACAGTGCAACTTCTAAACATGCATCTTTCGTGAAGCCGGCAGAGCAGATGCCAGAATACACCCAGAGCCCTCCTAGGAATATTTTGCAACTGACTACTTGGGGTCAGGTTGTTTCGTGTTGGTTTCACTTTGGCGTTTTGATTTCACAACCTTTCAGGGACGCTTCAGTGGTCATCACAGCTTTGACCTTGGAAGGCAAAGCCAGACGAGCTCATCCCCGATTTCGTGGTGGAAGGCGTGCTCATGACAAGCAAGCGCATGTGTTGCACGTGACAGAGTTTCCTTGAACGACCCTATTGTGTATCCTATTGTGTTGTATGGTCAATGGGCCATTGATTACCCTCTGGTGAACTAACATAGCAATGGAAAATCACCATTTTTAATGGGAAAATCCACTATTTCTATGGCCATTTTCAATAGCAAACTGTTAGTTCACCAGAGGGTATCATGGCAAGCCACTTGCTACGCCAGAGCTTCATGGCGACAAAGTGCCAGGCAGATCAGACAAGAAGATCGCCACCGACTTCTTTATCGTGCGCGTCAATGACACTGCGCCGAAGAAGGTCTGAATCATGATGACCATTGATGACCCATGCGGAATCCACCTCAACAAATCATTAGCTTTCATTTGTGTGTGCGTTGGAGTGGCCCGGTATTTCCAGCACGTGCGTGCACAGGATTGCATAGGATTGTGCAAGCTTCAAGCATTTGCAGCACATGATCCATGAGCTGTGATTTCATAAATCCCTGATTTGCAGCACCAGCGGATGTTTACGCATGCTGACTTCCCAAGAGAAAACCGTCCTACGCTCCTTGCCCACACTGGTTCCGACAATTGTTGCGACCAGATATGAGTGCTGGGTACACTTTGCAACCGCTTTTCGTCAAAACTGATTGCCTAGAGAATCTCTTGAAAATTAATCGTTTAGATACTCTAAGCTTATCAGCCTAGCCGGGAGTGATTGTTCTTTCACGACCACAGGACAGGATGCAGTAATGACAAGGGTTGTTAGTTCAGGTTTGGACAGGCTTTTGCAAAGCTTTTTGAAACTTTTCGATTTTGCGGCCACGGTACCAACAAGTTGCAAAGTTTCTTAAGCAGCTTGACACCTGTTGCGACAGCACTCCTCGTGAAAGCCTGAAAGTATCTCTCCAGAAGCCTAGGCATCCTCAGAGACGGGAAGACTTGAAGAAGGACAGCGAAACACGGACTCCATTGGACAGCTCTAGTCATCCTGGCCTCACCATGATTTCATCACCATCACCACCATTTGCATCATGGTCGTCAAAATGTTCCTCACAGGAACATCCAAATCAGCATTGCATGATTAGAATGATTAGATCATAGGTGTAAGTTTCACATTCTCTATGTTTCATCTTGCAGTACTTCAACAAAATTCCGAAATCTGAGCCATCATGGCCGGGCACTTGGCGACTCGTGTTGTGGACAGTCAGTTTGCCAATGTCGAACACATCTGGGTCAGCAGAGTCCAGGTCGCGCTTCGCCGACTTTCACCTTCTGCTGTACATTGCGAAGGTGAGATTTTGCCCACATCTGCCCACTGAGATTAGTAATGGGCAGAAATTACAAAGGGGATTACTAATTCTAATTTCTAAATGTTACATGTTTGTAATACTCTATTAAACTCTATTAGTAATTAGAAATACTGAGGGGATGGTGGGACATCGTGAGACTCAGACTCTGTCAGATTTCTTACCCCCCCTGAAACGAGCCCAAACATTTGCCTATGGAAACCATTGAGAGCCCTGGCTGATCCTGGAACTGGGGGCTGACGGAACTCAACTGGGACTTGACATGACATTGGTGAAATTCCAAGGTCTGCCCCTTTTTGTGTCATGACAACCATTCACCACCACTTCGTATCACTTCGTCCTGTTGAAGCACTGGCCGCAGGAAATCGACGTCGACACTGCGGTGGCCATCGCAGAATGCGTCAGGGATCGGAAGGCGTCGGCAGCTGGGCCTTGGTAGCCTTGGTAGCTGCAGATTGAGAAACCCTGGTTGATTTGGACTTCATTTATGATATTTAGAATCATTTTTGTATTTTTTCTCCCTGAAACATCAATGATTTTCTAATATTTTCTGCAAAACAGGCACCCCCGAATGAAGCCGCCTAGGGAGTATCAATCCGGGCTTGACATCATGAAATATCATCATCCTGTTTGTCGACCAGAAATGGCCCATGCTGGAAAGTGCAGATCAACCAGTGGTTGGTCCTGGAGACGGTCCGTTTCGAAGGACATTCCAGAGGGAGTCACCTTCATGTTCAACGAGTTGACGCAGTGAGGCCCATGGAGTTGCTTGGAATGCTATGAACAGTGTGAAACTGGAGGTGAACCGCATCGATGGCAGTGCATTGAAGCTTTTTTTTCACTCCAAACATTGCCAAACTGATTTACCCTTGAGTTCTTCATGTTTATGAATGTTTCCATGAAGCCTAGCAAGCTCAGGCAATCTTCATTCTGCATTTAAACAACCTTAACTGAGAAAGCACACCCCTTCAAACAATCATTGGAATTCTAGGACTTCTTGATACTTCTTGGCTTTTGAGGCGTTGCTTGATGGTTGCACATGACCTAAACAAGGGAAATATGGGTTCTCGCTGTGCAAATAGGCAGCGAATTGACCAGAAAGACTCGAGCTACTGAGCCTGGGTTTCCGTGGCAGTGCGGTCGTGGCATGATGTGGCAGTTGCTGGACTCATAGATTCAATTGGCAAGACATGTTTCAGGATCGAATCATCCATTTTTCTTGAGTGACAGTGCATTTAACCTTCTACACTAGGGTTAACAAGCGTCCACCATTCATGGAATATGTTAGAATAAGGCATCGCTGGCATCGCCATATCATGGTGCAGCACAATGGTCTGCCTGTCGCGCAAAAGCGCTCTCTGATCGATGCGTCGTTGTGCAGAGTTGCTCAGGTGCTCGTGCTTCCCCATGAAAATGGCCAGACCAAGACACACGTGCTGTATAACATTGTATCCTGCATAAATCTGTATAACTTATACTGTATAACTGTAGTCTGCAAGAAAATCCAGATGATTTACTGAGAAGATCAAAATTGCAGTATCTGATATTGTGAGATGGGTTTTTCACCACCAACCAGCTGTGGCGCATATCTGTTTTGACTCACAAAACACATACATAGGTCATTTTTACCCATGACGATCCCGTCAAAAGTCGCACCAATGGCTACCACGATCCTGTTGAGGGCAACCTATTTGTTGTAGAATCGTTGTAGCATCTCTGCAATAGTTTCAGAAAACTATCAATGTCACCCAAAGTAGGGAAGCACAATGTTTCGCAGCATTCCACACTAGGGAACTCTGGAGGTTTTTTGAATCCAATGATAGGAGGGTTTACTTGGGTCTACTCCACTGCTGAACCATGAGTGTCAGCAACCATGTGCTGATGTCTTCACCCAATGCGCAACTAAAGTTGGCCGGATATCGAGCAGCATCCAGGTGCAAGACGCGCACCGGAAGAATATCTGAGATTCTGAGTAGCTTCAGTCGACCAAAAAAGATCGAGAGACAGGCCATCAGAGCTCAAGGGTCCACTGGGCTGATGATTCAACAGTGTTTTGAAGATGGATAGGTCACAGCGATCCAGGGTCATTTCTTCACTCGATGGTGAAATCCTGGCTCAAATCCGTCGCAGCAAAATGAACTGGCAGGCAGTGTGAATGAAACATCTCTGCCCTAAGTGCCTGAAAAAGTGGAAGCAGTGGTCAGCAAGCAGCCAAGCAGACCGTAGTTTTCAAGGGTTTTTGGTTGACAAAGAACTTCTTAATGACAGTCCATACACGTGTCTTCAACCTTCAGTTTCTACCAGCCGCAGTCAGTGTGCCAACACCTCTGCATGAAGTGAAAGACAAAGTCACAATTGAGCTTTCTTCTTGGACACTTTCTTGGAATCTCATTTTGAGCTTCCTGCAGGCTGGGCCAGTGACATAAACCCTTTGGGTTAGTAGCCACATGGCTGTCCTTAAAATGATGTAACTCATACCTGCATGGCTGGTAGTTTGAGGAAGGGTCGCCAACATGCTGTCTTCAATCATCAGGTTCACGAACTATCTGTGTGGCTTCAAAAAGTTGTTCTGAAGGGCTCCGTAGCCTATCGATGACTCTTTTGATCAGCAACAAAAACTGCCTCATTAGCTGCATGCGCAAATTTGGTTTGCATGCTTTCCGGAAATCAAACAAGTGCGCACACACACACAAGTTATTTAAGGGTGCACCAAGTATATACATTGACATATAATATAATATGATATAATATGTACATATGTAATATAAACATATATAATATGTACTGTACATATATAATATGTACACATAGAATATATGTATATATGTATATATCTATACACATACATATGTCCTAATATGTAATTTTAATTGTGTATATATATATATATATATCATATGTAATTCATATGTTGTCATATATCTATATATGCACATTAGAACGTGTAGATCCCCCAAAATCCCTAAATATTGATGTGCCAATCACGGCATTTTCAAGCTCTGCAGCACTGCATCTCAAAGTGACGTTGAGGCGCCATGGGCCAAGCTTCTGGCAGCATCCCTGAGGCTGGGAGCTGCTGAATCAGTGGCAGCCAGTGGCTTGGGACATCTTGGGACGCTTCGCCAGGAGGAAGACAAGGATGATGGCTGCTGCACGGTGGCCTGCTGCTGAGAACCCACTATGAGACAGTGGCAGTGAAAAAGATGGAGTCTGATAGAGCTTGGTAAATCGAGTGAAGATGCGGCAAGAGTAAAAAACACTGGTGAAAGCAGGGAAGCAGGATGTAAGTCACAGATGAAGTAGCCTTTGATTTCTCAAAACTTGGAACTTCACAGCACTCGTGGCGATTTTCTGCATGGGGCAGAGTCACTCATTGCTGTCACTTCCTCACCAAAACTGTTATTCACCCTCCGTCTTTGTTGCAGCTGTTGCAGCAACTCATCACAAGGACAAGCAAAAGAAAGAAGTGCTGAAGAACATCAGCGTTGTCACTCGCTTCGAGGTGCACGGAGTTCTTCGTGGAGTGAAGCCAGCGGGGCAATTCTATTGCGTTTCTGGTCCCTCTAGCAGTCTCTACTGTATGCTTCAGGAATGAGTTTAACTCAGTTCACCTTGCGAGCATAGGCTTTTCTCATCAGATTGCAATCAGGGACCTGGAAGATGCTTCAAGATAATTACTCGGATTTAAGACCAACATTTGATAAGTCGAATCGAACAAATCAGGCCAGTGAGTGAAATTGAGACCCAACAGATAGATACAAAATGATACAAATAGCCCAGAACATCCCAGAACCATGCCCAGTTTGGCACGGTTGGCAGGGCAGCGACGGTGTGGAATCAGCCTTCGAGATGAAGTTTGAAGTCCCGGAGAGCGCCACCGCGGCTTGGCCTGGGGACCCAGGGACCCAGATTGTTGGCATCCGTGGGGCATCGCAGGCACGTCCCGGCAGCATTTTATGACAATTTGAGATCACCGAATAAGCATCATGAACCACAGGATCTTGGGGCAGTCTATTTTGGAGACAAGCCTAGTTGGCTTTGGGTGGTTAAAAGGTAGCGGTATTGATGGAGAAGTTTGAGTGCTGGGTTCTGATGGGCACCTAGAATCAAGAAGAATTAAGCAAAATCAATCGACGAGAGCGCTTGGAACCTATGATCCATGTAGCCTCTTTTGAGGAGTTGCCCAATTGGGTCATTCTTCCCATGAGTAAGAGTCCAAAGAGCATCCTGCCCCCTTCTGTGCATCCCCTCGTCAGGCTCCTTCACGAGTTAAGGGACAGGCTGTCCACTGAAAAGCCAGAGGTGCCATGGTGGTTGGTGCAAATGATTTCCATGATTTTACCTGTGTACTGAAGGCGCTTAAGGTGCCTTAAGCTTGGACGGGATGATGATCATGTAGTTCCATGCCTACGTACAGCAATGTGACTTTGCATCCTGCACGACATGTGACACGACCGCCTCAAAACCATTCCTGAGTCCAGAACTTTCCTCCAGAGGGAGCCCCAAGGATCTACAGATGTGCCAGCTGTGCCAGGCACCCCATGTCATTGGCCTCAAGGTGCACCAACAGTTGTTAGCAGCCTGGGGTTTTGCCAGGGCCAAAAAGGATGATGGGATTATGGGGGGGATGGGATTCCCAAGTTGGTTGACATGTTGAGAGCAGATGAACAATCGGCTTCAAAAACGGCCAGGTCCTGAAGAACAAGGAGCAAGCAGCACAAGCGCTCCATGCATCGGCGGTTGCTGCTGCGGCTTGTGGTGTGCTATGTGCTGGTGAGGCCCTCACTGCACGTCAGGTGCGATGGGAAGGCATAAGGCGACCAGGATAACAACATTGAGATTGGACATTGCATTGTTGGGTACAATCCATTCATTGGAATGAGGCACCAGCTTTCTGCCACTCCCAAATATTCCAGAGAGGCAGCGAAAGCGCAAGAGGGCGGCTGTCTTCCCTACATGGCTGCCATGCTTGCGGGAGGTTGGGGGTATCAGCCACTGTTAGAGGGTGAGCCTGAAAAGATTCCATGCAGGGCTGGTACAATTTTCCGGTGCGTTTGTTGAGTCACATATGTTGCCTGTCTACCACCTACGCCAGACGAACTCATCTTGGACTACACCGTCCTCCTAGAGGCCTGTGGGGTTTGGCAGCAGCCACTTACAGTGAGGTGTCCTAATCTTGACCTTTGTGAAGCGGCTTACGTAGTCAACAAGGAAGAGTTTGGGATGCTTTAGATTTTTATCTCAGCGAAGACCCAAATTTGAGGAGCCCTGGGGAGATCAGAGAAGGGCTCCAAAGAACATGTAATCCCTTTATCATTAATCCAGTTCTTCACCATAGGGAGGAAGCTTTTAACTGAACAGCAGTGACCCTGAGCTGCAACTTATTGAAGTTTAAGAGCACCGTAGCTGTTTGTTCAGGAAGGTCCATATTCACTGTACCAGCAGGTGGACTTCAACACAACCCTCTCCTATGATATTATTATACAGTACCAGATCCTTCTGTATTAATTATATATATATATAATATAATATAATATAATATAATATTATATTACATTATATTATATTATATTTTATTATATTTTATTATATTATATTTCATTATATATTTATTATATTACATTACATTACATTACATTATATTCTATTGTATAATATTATATTATATTATATAATATTATATAATATTATATATTATATTATTATATATTATTATTTTTTGGTATATAATACATAAATAACATATATATAATATAAATAATTAATGTATATATATATAATATAACACACACATATATATAATATAACACACACACATATATATACACATACATATATACATATACATACATACATGCATGCATGCATATATATAATATACATCACGAGATATATTATATTACATTACAAATATTATATCATATCATGTCATATCATATCATGTCATATCATATCATATATTATATTATATTATATTTACCCTCCAACACAATTTCCCAGATTTACTTCCAGATCTACTTCCAAGCCGTTGCGGTTGGGACAGGAAGCCCTAGGAGATGGCGAAAGCTTTGAGGCGGTCTTCGAGGCGTCCCAAACATGGGATGTTTAACGATGTTTAATGATACCATCTGGTTATTTAACATAGCCATGGAAAATCCCTTATAAATGGAGGTTTTAATGGGAAAATCATCTATAAATGGGCCATTTCCCATGGCTATGTTAAATTACCCGAGGGTAGAAGATTTGAATTTTGAGAAACCCAATTTTTGATCCCTTTGTCGGGTATTTTTTTTAAGAGGGGGATACCCATCCATTTGCAAATTCAAACAAACCATCGAATGATTCTGGACGGTGGATATTTTGCTCCCCAATGAGATGGTTCATATGAAACAATTGAAACATGACCAAGATTTCAGACTTTGACCCGTAGCATCCCGTAGCCATACCCAACGCATAGGCTGCTCCACAAAATGCCTTGGGGTGACCACGCCAGGTGCAGAGCGAAGGTGTCGCAAGAAGTTTGCAGGCAGGGATGAGATGCGACGGATGACTTCGAAACTTGTGGAAACTGCGGGGACACTCATCATGTTTTTTTGTCCTTGAATTTAACATATACTTTCACATACTTTCACCCAACCTTTTGTATTCTGCCTACCACTCTTGGCTCTTGCTTTTCTTCAGCCTTGTGGTGGAATTGTCCCACAGAGCCGGCGTTGCCAAGCCTGCAGAGCATGGGCTCGTCGTGAACTCTTTGTCCCTCTGGTGGAGCAGTTGCATACAAGTGGACCCAACTCTCCGGGGATACCGTCAGAGAGAGCCTCGTCAGGCGGCTTCCTCCCCAGCTGGCAGAGGGTTTGCAGAAGTTTCTCGTGGTCGAACCATTGAGGACAGGATGCTGAGAGCCTCAGATTGATTGAGACAGCAACTTCTATATACTGTTGTGTCAAGGCACGTCAACTGCTTTAGCTCTTATCAACAAAAGCCTCAAAAAGCATCTTAAAGCCAAGACCCCGCAGCCACATCCTGCCAGTTCTGCTTGTCAGGATTTTGAGATCATTCGAGTGGTGGGAGCAGCAGACCCAGCATGACCCAGCCGGCAATTTTGGTTTTCAATCCAGTAAGTGGTTGACATCACCTGGTTATACAGACAGCTGATAAAGTCGTGCCTCGTTTTTGGGAATCACCAGAATTAGCTTGGGAAACTTGTACCTGGTTGATGGTTGGTTTTCAATCCGCAAAATCCAAGCAGTTGCCGGCCCCACGGCGCCCCAAGTTTTGCCAAGGTGGGTGGCTCGGGCCGAGTTCTTCAGGTTGGACTTGTGGTTTCCAGCTATCAACCAATAGAATGTATGCCAATATTCACCATCACCATCATCACCATCATCATCATCAGCCATCATTGATTTATTATGAACCACTATTTGCGGTACCAGGTACCAATATGTCATGAATTATGAAGCAACATTAACCAATCGTCAGCTTTTCTACATGTTTGTGGGAGAGTTGGAGGAACCAAAGCCAGGCGAGACATAAACCCAGCGGGCAATATCGTGCCGTGAAGGTCATGAGCAAGGTGATGTGGCTCGGGAGAGTTTTCCGTTGTGAAGTGGGTTGGCTAGCTGTATTATGTCGATTTGTGATGGTTTGGTGGGGATACTAGCGTCTGATAAAGAAGACCTACAAGTTTTGACTGATAAAGATATATTCTGGGCAATCATGATTGCTGATAGGTAGGATTGGTAGGAAGAAAGGGCATTCAGACAAATGTAAATCACACATACTTGAACAAACCTACCGAACTTCAGTCATCGAGCAGCAGCGTCCTGATCTGCACCAGGAGCGGCTTTTCCAACAGGAGCAACGACTCCAACGGGTTGGGGATCTCCGGAGAGGGCGGTTCGGAACTGGGCAGATATGGGTGGGGGAAATCAGAAATCCTGGAGCCGATTGGAGGTTTCACAATGTTCACAACTTTAATGAGGGACAGCTACATAAGGTTGATTTATTCGCGAATCGCGAATCGTATTCACGCCAGACATGCCCAGACACGACAGTCGCCTGTAGACATATAATGAAATCGCATCCGAATTGGATGTCATAATCGGATTGCTATTACTCTCATCATCCCCAATGGCACTTTAAAAATCATATGTCATAATCTCACATGTCATTTTTAAAACAGAGAGCACTTCTGTATCACTCTCATTGACATGTGTCAATCCGTTGGTCCCATCGCGCTCACGAGGTGATAACGGAGAAGCGTATCTTGTCAAGGCTCCAGTATGAATCTTAGGGCAGAGATTGGAACGTTCTTTTTCTATTTTTTTCTTGAAATCTGATTGACGTGAACATCTATGACATATGAAACCTCCAGAAACAAGGACATGGGTTGCTTCCAGTTGCTGCCTTTGCCTGTGCTGCAAGATTCGCAGCTGAGGCACCCCTTTGTGGTTTCCTTGCATTGGGCATTCCAAACTACCACCCATTTATTCTTAGTTCGGAGCCAAGTCCAGGTCGACGCCGCTTCCAAGGGCCGGGGTCAGATTTCTGCAGGACTATAAAGGACTTTGATTCCTGCGAAAAGATATCCCAGAAATTTGAATGTGAACTTCTGACCGAAAGTCCTTCACCTTTATTGAGACAGGGGTGGTACCTCAAATCTGGGGAAGTGCGGCTGTGCTAGTCATTTGGGTGATGAGCAGCTGACCTCAGCATTTGGTCGCTAAGGTGTTGGACTTTTGTGGCGGCGGTGAGCTTTTTTTCCATATGCTTCACCGGGGCCGCTTTGAGGACGGGGGAAGAATATGGAAGAATTGTACCGGATCCCCCTTGGTGTCACCACAGAAGCTCTTGGCAGAGTGGCAGAGGAGTTGACCGAATTGAAACCAGCAACTTTTTGCAGAGTGATCTCTACCGTCATAGAGTTGTTTTGAATTTCCAAGATTTGTGCTCCTCTCACAGCAATCAGCGTACATCGAAAAATGTGACTCTAAAATTCATGGCACTGCGGCCTGGGATTTCAGCCCAAGGTCCAGTCTGGCACCAGCATTCCAAACATCGACAACAAAACCTTGAGTGAAAACGAGTTGAGCCCAGAAAGGATGGAATCGGATGGAAATCAATTGAAGGGTTGAAGTCCCATGAGTTTTGCTGATAGAGCTGCAGGAACCAGATGGCAAATTTTACTTCTCTGAGATCTTGCTTGGTCTGGAGTACCTTCATTCACAGCAGGTCACTTTGTCAATGCGATCGGACGATGATACTATTTGCATCTCAGGTTCTGCACAATTTTTGCATGGCAAGATTGATCTGAGTGGGTCGATTGTGCAAGCAGGTGCTTTACCGAGACCTGAAGCCAGAAAATTGCTTGTTGGATGATGACGCTTGGCATTGTGGGAGTGCTGGAGTGTTTCGGGTGCTTCGGTCTAGTTCTGTACTTGGAAGGCTGGCCATTAATCATCTCTTTGTAACGTTTGTGTTTGAAATAGGCCACCAGTCCATCACAGTGATGGTTTCGAAAGCCATGCATAGCAAGTAGAGACATCGTGATCACCATGAATCTCGCATACGCAAATAGGCCTTATAACATCCTTACAACATGACACGCCCCAAAACATTGAAGGCAGCTCCCTCTCATCAACACGTACAGAGGGTTCAAGGTCATTGCTGGTGGGACCCCTGGTGGGACCCTTGGTTTCCATTGGTTTCCCACATCTTCCTATCTTCCTTGCTGGTCGCTCCCAGGAAGGGCACATCCGGTTGACCGACTTCGGTCTTTCCAAGGATCTCTGCTTGGAGGGATTTCGATCCACTGAAAAGGAGTAGGAAATGAGGAAATGATAGGAAGGAATTGAGGAAGGAATTGTGGCATCGATGTAGACTGCACTACAGCACAAAACAAGATGTGGCAAATGTGTAGGGAAAGAAGCGGAGGGCTTTGCTTTCAGAGCACACATAGGATGCTTGGCCAAGGTATATACAAGATTTGTACTCTCGTTCGGCATGTTTTCCTTGAAATCCCCAGATCTTCTAGCTTCGCCATTGAGCTTTCACCCCAGAGCATTTATTTGTCAAAGATGGATACTTTGTCTTTACCGTCTTGCCCGACCGGGTGGTAAGTGGAACACTCGGCTTCACCTTCCGCCAGGATAATCTCACACATTCCGCCCTCTTCACATCCTTTGTTGCGCTCTCAGTGGGTCTCAAGCCAGGTCCAGGTTTGTCATCCCCAACCACTGAGGTGGGCACTGCAGGATACCTAAGTCCAGAGATGGTGGCCCGGCAGGGCCATGGCCTACCGCTGGACTACTACTGCTTAGGTTGCCGGGAAGCCTGGCATTGGGGGAAGAAGCGATGGTCCGATGGCCTACCGGTGGAACGCCTTGGGGGCCGTGGCCATTTTTTGGGATTCTTCCATCCCATACAGGATGGGTATCTGCACTGCACTATCCAGCAAACCATTGCCCACATGGTTTGCTCATGTTTGCTTCATCCAGAAAACGAAGGGTGAGGAATTCGGAATGGTGAGAAAGAATGGTCAAAAATGGATCACCTCTTCTGGAATGGCTGAGGCCTGTTGTATTGCCTCCTCACTGGATCGCTTCCTCACTATGAGGGTGACTACAAGGCGTCGAAATGTGAGTCCCAAATAGTCCCAATCTCAACGGATTTAAAAGAGAAAGGGGAGACGACATGATCCAACTATTGCATACTATTGCGACAATCCGGTGACAATCCGTCACTAGATTCCACGACACTAGAAGTGCATGGGATTCTAGAGTTCACAATGCCAAATTGTCAGGCTTTGATTCAGAGATTCATAAGTACACCATGCTAGTCCTCCGACAAGAATTGCACATATATATATATATATGTATATATATATATAATTCAACTACATCTTGATTCTGGGTGGCTGATCAGCGGAGAAGTGGCGAGTTTGGATACAGTACATGGCAGGCAAATCGACTTATTATTATGCTTTAAACGGAGCCTCCTGACTTCAGAAAATCTCCACATCACGCTGCCCGCGAATGCTTGAACTTGAGACGTAAGGATCAAACATCTGTTTTTGGGATATTAAATCTTCGATCATTTCAAATGTTAATGGGAGTCTCCATTGTGCAAGGTTTTATGTGCAGCAGTTCAGGAAGGTAGGCGCCAGCATGAGCTGCGATGTGAACAGGTCATGATCCAGAAGAGAGTTAAGGGTGAGCCCGTTCAGTTTCCGTTGGGTTCTGAGACTGGTTGGGGGTTGGTAACATGAAATTACCATCAGGTGCAACAACCAAGCCGACAAAATTCTGCCAAGAGAAAGCTTTCAGCCGAAAGCAACGATTTTGGGATGCCTTGGAGCCCAAATCCTACGCATATGATGTTGATCTTAGTTGATCTTGAGGTTGCTGTTATTCTTTGATATTCTTTGCTGTTATTCTATGTATTTCTATGTTGACTCAGTAGACTCCATGACTGCTAAGGCCCTGGGTAAATCCAGATGCCCAGGACATCCTCTGGGGCGTGGGGGCTGAGAATGGCAGCTTCCAATGGCTTGGACATGTTTGGAGCGACTTGTCGCCAGCAGAATGGATTACCATGAGTGGTGGCAACTGCCATCTTAATATCCTGATCATCAATGGCTTTATATTGCCATTCGAGTCATTTGCCAAAAAGATATAAAAAGATCAGTAACGCGTGAGTCCAAGTGCTGAGGCTTGCTGCAGCCCGAGCCAGACTTTCCGGCATGTTTAGAACAGCTCAACGGCAGAAAGCACAAAATTGTAATGTATGCCCCCTCCATCCGGCATTATGTCGACATTTCTGAGCATGACTTCATTTCCTGAAGGGGAAAGTGGTGGTGCAATGCCTCATGGTGGAATGCCTCTTGGGATGAATCCATTTCTCATAATGGTTTCGGTTTCATTGTTGAAGACTCCAATAGCAACTCAGTGCAGCCTCTATTCTCAACTCCTCTCCTTCTCTTGGCTCAAACCATTTGATTCCCATGCCGGTGATAGATGCTCCCAACAACACTGTGGAAACAAAACGTCAGCCATTCTGCTGGATATGTCTCAAGGAAGTCCCTTCTGCGAATCCTGAGAAAGCAAATGCTGGAAAGGATGCCACACCAAGAGCATATTGACAGCAGATGGGACGGAATACATTTTTTTTGAGCCCTGCAGTAGTCAGAACATTTCCCAACATAGATCAGGACAACAACGCTTTGGGCAGCGGATCACAATCTCACCTTCGGGTGGTGCATCAAAAGCCATCACCAGCTGAACATTTCACAGCTGAAAGCCCTAAGTGCACCGCTGCTTGATTTACGTAGTGCTCCTCACTCGCCCCCGCTACTCGCCCCCAGCTGCTACCATCCACATGAGTTCGCAGCATGTGGGCACCATTCTTCGTCTGAAGCTGAAATTCGGCAAAAGTAAAGCAGTTGTCTTGACAAAGGATTCGTCTCATGTTGTTGAAGGGGCCGGGGATCAATTTTAAGGAGCTGCCCAAAGATATTGGCTGTGAATGCACTGGTGCGGGCACCTGGAACGTCGCAGCGATTTTGCGGGGGGTTTTTGGCTGCGGTCAACTTGGGTGGGGATGGCGGCGACGTTGCAGCTTTTGGGTGAGCGGGTTTCATGGCCTCAAACAGTGACACTGGATTGGCTGGATTGCATAAGCCTATAGGCTTCTAGACTTTGCCACGGATAGTATGTTTCTTTGTGGTTTATCATCATTAGCATGCCAGCCACCTGTAGCAATGCCAGGGCATACCAGATTTCGGCTTGCATGTCAGCACTTGGAGCGTGGAATTGCGGGGCTCCAGGATCCAATGCTCCTGCACCAGCAGATGAGGAGGCCCTTTCGATCCTTTGGGTGCTTGGATGATGTTGGATAGTGAAAAATCACCAAACTTGTGGGTCCATTTATCCAACATATTATCCAACATTGGTACCATATTATCCAACACTTGGTACCCTTTGGTACCTCCCTTTTATATGGCTAGCTGTAGATATGACATGACCCGAAGCTCCTGGGAGGCACCCGTGCGGGCCAACGATGTGCCTGCTCCGAGCTGCTGGCATGGTTACAAATGGTTGCAGGTAGCCCTAAGTCAATAATGGTTAATGATGGTTAATGATGGTTAATGATGGTTAATGATGGTTAATGATGATGATTAATAATGGTTAATAATGAACTTTGAGGCCTGGTCCTGGACCAGGTCTGGTGTCCAGTCATTGTCCCTGCAGACAGGCCCACAAGCGACGCCAAGGCTGCGATGCGCATGACATGGAGAGTCACGTGCAATATGTGTCATGGCTGTTTCACATCTATACACGATTATGTAATATTATATAATGTATATATATATATAATCATATAGCTGTTGCTTAACTTTGACCTATGTGAATCTATTGGTGTCTTCATATTTCTTCATACATCATCATACTGTACATCTATATCTTGAAAAAATCTCAGAGAATTTCTGTGATTCTGGGAAGCGATTCCATTTTAGTCAAAAACATGAGTCAGTCATATCTAACTGCGCACGCCCTGCTGCCCGGCTGCGTCTAGTGACATGGAGGTGCAAGGCTCCAGCTCCAGTTCCAGCGCAGTGACTGGTGCAGTGACTGGTGCCGGAAGCAAGCCACTGAGGCTGGGATCTTTTGGAGCTCAGTTGAGTGCCATTCATTGGGTAACATGATGAGCTCAATATTGATATTAACCCCCAAGCCAGCCAATGATTAACCCATATTAACTTATATCAACTTATTATTAATGGGCATCTTTTTGGGGAAAATGAGGATCGTCCAAGCCACTTTCAGACACACCCATCTGTGCACTTGGTACTGTTTTAAGATGTTCAATTTTCATGGATTTCTGCAGGGTGAGTCGCTGGACAGGCCTGGAGCTGTTGGAATTGGCAGCCATGCACCAGAGCTTGGGGGCCCAGGGATGGGGAATAGCACGATGGCAGCTTATCATTTCTTGGCGGATGTAGCACGATGTAGCCACGATAAGTTATCCCTGAGAAATCATGCCCCAGCTCCTGTGTCGAGCCTGAGAAGATGATGAGTCGCCAGAGAGCGAGCTGTCGTTGATGCAATCAGTGTCAGCATGTGGCAGCGCGCTTAAGCAACTCACACCATTGTTGGTCATTAATCCATCATCAGGGGATTGTAACAACTGTATACAACTGTTGTGAGGGAACCCCAATAAATTGGATCTACATCCGTTGGCTAACACTGACAATGCGACTGGTAACATCTACTACTGTTGCTACTGTTAGTTGATGGTTATCAAGCTGTGTGTAAAGACACATATACAATAATTGTATAAGATGATATAAATAAATGACGTCAGCACACATGCAGCACACGCAATCTGAAACTGAGCAGCACTTTTCGAACATCCTGCTGCCAGAGTTTCCGAGGCTTCAAGTACAAGGCTTGCGAATACGCGGAGGCGTGGGGGCTGACACCAACTGGGCCAGACAAGAGGGAGGTTTTTGCCATTGGCAGATGCCACGAATATCCAAGAGTCTGTCCAAGAGTGTTGGATCTGGCTTCCCAAATGGGACACGTTCCACGGCGTGATGCTTGCTGGAAATGCACAGAGTTGAACTCGTTGAAGCGTGGGTGACACAGCGAGCCGGCGGCACTGGTCGCCGATGCGAAGATCTCAGGCAGAAGGGCAAGCGCGGCAAGCGCGAGCCTGTGAAATCATTGAAATCAACACTGTAGACATCTGACTTTCGACAAATTTTGGAATGACCTGGTGATGCAATGACTACCAGGTGTTCATGATTTTTCTCAGATTATCCCCAGAACGTCTTCCATAAATGAAACAGGCAGGTGCTGTGACTGTGTGACGCTGTGTGACGCTGTGAAGCTGTGAGATTTCCTGAGTCTCAGCTGAGCGACTGAGCTGCTGTGTCCACTGTTTTTTAATGCTGTGTTTGTGGCACTTCTCAGCAGTTCTCTGTCAGACTATAATCCAGTTATAGGATAAATAAGTATAATATATGATTACTGTATATATATTATACACACTGGTTATGACACTGGTATCAACCTTGTGCACTGAGTGGTGCTGTTTGAAATCATTTTGGGAAGGCTAGGACCCCTCAAAAGTTGCTCATAGCGGAAAGCACAAGCCAAAAGGGAGATGATCTGCTTGTGCGAGTTGCTGTGTGTAGCTATGATTTTGCTGTGTGAGCGCTGTATGAACGGACTTTCCATGCCAGACATTTCTTCAATCTTGAAGATGGCAGGAAGTTGGTGTGATTGTCAGACATGTGTTGTTTTCCCTGGCATTGTGAAAGGCAGCTTAGATGAGGGTCCGGCCATGCAGGTTGACTTGCGATTTCTTCATGGTGCTATGCGAGCTGTTTTGTCATGGTTTGTCTTGCAAAAAGCACCGCTTCTGTGACCGCTTCTGTGAACGCAGATGGTCACAGCACTTTTGTAGAGTGGTTCATTGCCGAGGCTTAGCATGCGTGGTTTCTGGAAGTGGTTCTGTCTTGAGCAAATCCCTGACAGCTCAACAGGATAGTCAGACAGCCCATCGCAAGATCCGCATGCAGCTGTCGATGCCACATTGCTGGCAGGGGTGGCTTGCTTTCGTACAACATTTGCAAGAACCGCAAAATCTGCGAAATGGTTGGATCATGTTGGATCTAAATTCCTATCCAAGAGTTCAAGTTCTGTGTTCCTCATTTTTTTTGCTTTTCTGAATGTGAACACTTTCTTGATGTAATGGGTTTCTCGGTTCCTTTGTGCAGATGCTGCGCTGCATTGTGTGGTATGCGTCTGGCATGTCTCGCTCTAGCAGGAATCACGCCGCCAGCACTGGTCCAGGAGGTAATGGCCATGGATGCTCTGTGTGCTATTCCGGTTTCACTGTGGATTGTGTCACATTTTGAAACCCTTCCTGTTTGTGTACAGGGTAATCAGGTAATAGGTAGATATGCTGGAGTTCAATCTTTAATCCGCTGCTGTCTTTCAACCAGGCACATTGCGAGATGCTAGGCATCCGGTGTAACTTCTTTCCCTGGAGGCTGTAGATACTGTATGAAGTTGTGATGTTTTTCAACAAGAGTTGTACTGGCAAAGTAACGCTTTCACTGTGTAGCCCTTCTGTATATTTTTTTCTGAGAATGATCCCTTTGACTTTGCACGCTTTTGCTAGTCAAATAAGCATGTGTGCAACACAAAGTGGCACAGAGAATTACTTCCTGAAACCTGAAGTTTTTGCCTCGAAGGTAGTGCGGGTGGACTGGACCCCTTCCACCTCAGGGGGTGACTATCAGCTTTCAAATGTTGCAGTGTTAACGTCATTTGATTTCGTTTTAGTTTCCCGTTGATCCAGCTGTTGATCCTGCTGTTGATGCTGCTTGCAAGATGTGACACTGAAAACAATGGTGCAGCCTGGCCAGCGTGGATTGACCGTGGAGAAGTTGTGTTTGCGCTGCGAGCTGATCTGCGAAGCGTGAACTTTGTGAGGTGAAGGAACTTCACCCAGCGTCGCAGCTCCTGTCCAAGATGGCCCTGGCGGTGTTTGATCCACTTGCTGAATGGATGGAAGTTTGCAGTTTTATGAACTCGAAGAATAGCAGAATTTTAGGACACTGACATGGACTCCACTCAGGCAGAACCCAATTAGCAGCCAATGAATCTCCATGATGCATCGCAACAAGCCAACCATGCCTTTCTCTAGAGATCAAACTTTATCTAAACCGGTCTTGAAATGAGTGTAGAGAACATCCACTTCTCATGAAGTGCTGCACACAGATTCTGGGGTCAGGAAAAATAATCATGTCATTTCTTTGGCCATTGTTGATCACAGAACTCCCTAAACGCTGGCGCAAGCTTGGGGAAACCAGTATCAAGCTACCCCCGGACTCATGCTGTGAGTTCAAGATTCAAAACTACAACCAGAGCTCCCAATATCAAGACACAACATGAAGACACTTTGCAACAGGTCCCTCCCTTATCCTCCCTTGTTACAATACCTTTTGCTTTGTGAGTCATGATGTGGACAGAAAGATAGAGATCATCAGTTGATGCATGATGATGCTAACTGTGGTGTGCTCTTGCTGCATCTGGGAGGCTCCGGCCGCTGCCTAGCATCCGTGCCGTTGGTGCAGGAGCATTTGCTGGGGGCATTCATTTTACATATATATTTATATTTGCTTAAGATCAAGATCATTTGTTCCTAAGTCATTAGATTTGCTTGTGACGAGGTACTATACGTAGCAACAGTTCTCTTTGGAGAAGGATTCTTCTTATCGACGATTTGTGGTCAACCAGTGGGTCGCCAAAAGAAGATTGACTCTGGATGTCAAGTGATGTCAATGTGCAGCGGTAATTGGCTCTGGAAGGTGGGCATTTGTCACGAGTTAAGATCCTTTGGGAACCTCCCATTGGGTGTTGGTCAAATTGGGTACCCTTCTGACATAAAGATAACCAACACTTGTGGTCTCCTAAATAGGTTTTAAACCTTGACCCCGCTCCCATTGACTGGTCATTTTTCTGGCAGAGGCCATTACCCAGATTTACCCAGTTTTGAGCCGGACCGATTGCAACAGATCCTCGCTGTGCCGTTGTTGAAACGGTCCTTTTCCTAAAGCAGCTCAACCAAGGGCTCATGAAGCTGCTGAGCAGAAGAGCACCACTTAGCCCAAGCATGTTTTTTCTTGGAATGAAATGACACTATATACAGTTTTTCAAAATTCTTCATAGGTGATATATGGTAATTACCATATGTCTCACTATAGTCACTATAGCAATGGACATGATTGTGTAGTCCTGATCAACAGCAACCTGGCACAGCTCTTGTGGCAGGACCGGGCTTACTGGGAAATCCATGTGGTGGAGGCTGCTGTCCATGGTGGTGCCCCCCCTGAGTCATAAGTTGGTTTACAACCCCTACTAAGTATAAAGGTAAAGCAACTATAACTCTAACCCCAACAATAACTTGCTAGAAAAAAACTTAAACTGCCCTAACTGCCCCAGTTATGAGTGGTTGCCCAGTTATGATCCCAGATTACTATGAAAGCCACTGAGCTAGCGAACTGGGGCATTATCAGTTGGTTTGGCAATCGGGACGTCGTCCCCACCTTTGTCCGTGACATGTTACGAAACTCACTGGGAATAGAATGGGGACTTCACCAACAACCACTGGAAACAAATCTATGGTAGAATTGGAGATAATACCGCGATAGTTGGGTTGATCCACTTTTCCCTTAACTGTATTGGCCAATCTGAGGTAGGTCAGCAAATCGGGACACTGCTGTTGGCTGGCGTGGCAGCACAAGGACGAGAGCGGTTCTGAGCTTGGGCAATTGGGTACCGCGCACATGTGGTTGTGGTGAATTAAATCTTTGGACCCTGATGGAAACACTGTGGCACCTGAAGACAGTCATGCCAATGGGCCTTGATCCAAATTCGATCGCGGCGGAAACTAGCTTCTCATTGGCTTCGAGATAGATCATAAATCATGCTCTGAACTGATCTCAAAGGTTTTAAGTCCAACAGGTCAGGAAGGCACCCCACTTGTAGTTCCAAGGTGTCCAATTGGATTTGTTGTCCTTTAGCATTTTTTGGCATGGCATTTTCAGCTATGCAAGGGTGTCTGCCGTGCAGGACCGGATGACCACCTGCAACAGCGGTTGGGCGCCACTGCCAGGAGCTTTGGAGTTCAGTGGGAGAGCCCAGCGGAGCAAAGCGCATGCCAGCACTGTATCCTGCGGCCATTTTCTTTTCCTGCACATTTTGTCAGGTTTGGAACCAGTGAACCATTGAAAGTGGGAGACGTGCATCCGGCATAGTTTTTCAACAGCTTTGGTTGGAGGGGGATTGCGGGAGTCTTGGAAGACAACAAGGAAGCCTACCACTGGCTGTACAATCCTGCCAGCAAGACATGGACCAGAAGAAGTACCTAAGGAATGTGAAATATCTTATGCTTCAAGTATCATCTCCCTTGGAAGTGACTGCTGGCACACATTGGGTGTGACTACGATCAGAAATTGCCAGACTCTTTTTTTTCAAGGTCATAATTGTTTGGCAACACAACTTGGATTGGTGGACTTGTTGAACGTCTGCTACCGAAAAATCTCGGTTCACCTCGGCCCTTAAGTGGATTCTCGGCACATCAATCCCATCAATCCCATCAATCCCATGATACCAGATGCAGTCCCCGAGTCAAAGCTGGGTGATTCACTCAGCGTGTCAGGTCATCGGCATTGCCTGCAACCAAGCGACTTTTCCAGTGTCTGTCAGGCACCTAGTCGGCAGACGTGATAGAATTGCATCGATGAGACATGTTGATCACTGGAGAGAATATGAGAGAGAATCAGGACTTGGTTCACAACACCAAGCTAGAGAATATGAGCCATATTAAGTTGTCTTCAGCCATTTAAGTGATGCCATGGGATGTCATGGGATGTCATGGGACGTGAAGGACCTGTCATGGACCTGTCATTCGATTCAGTGAAGTCTTCCAAGTCCCAGGTCACTGCTTGGCACAACGGTGCACCGGTGCCAGCTCCGATGCCCAGAGGGCCCCTGCCCCAGCGGGAGGCTGTGGTGCCTGGAGCACGAAATACAATGCTGGAGTGGACCAGGCCGTGTACCGTATTTACTGTATGTATCAAAACAATATGAGATTGGTTGAAGACCTCACATGGTCTCCAAGTTGCATATATGTTCATTCATTCATTATCATTCATTTATGCATTTATTTATTCATTGATTCATTTATTTGTTCGTTTGTTACTTTATGTATTCTTTCCAATTTTGATTTGGATCGACTGAAACAACAGTTGAAGTCCTGACACTGAGGCTGAAAGGTGAGTTGTGGCCTGCATTGTTTGTCTCCGATTGTGTCTGAGCCTCGGTAGCCTTTGTATCTCACCCCGCTTCAACGGGCCCTCGTCGGCAGGTCGTGGACTGGGCCCTTGCTGAGTCCCATTGGAAGGAAAACACCAGCCGACCACAGGCGATGAGGGGTGGTCAGGGACGGTCCCTGCGATTACAGGTACCCTCTGGTAAACTAACATAACTATGGAAAATCACCATTTTTAATGGGAAAATCCACTATAAATGGCCATTTTCAATAGCTATGTTAAATTACCAGAGGGTAGTACAGGATGATGTCGACTGATTTTACCTCTCTGTGAAAAGTACAAAGACGATCAGAAGAAACAAAAGAAGCATCACCATCATCTCCATGCCCGATATTTTTTAATTTTTCTTAAGAAGATCAAAATGGCGCTCAGTTTCATTGACCCCTCACTTTGAGGCTTGAAATTCGCACACACACACATACATGAGCACTGAATTGGGGGCATCAAGCATGTTCAGATGACCGATTGAATTGTTTCAAGATATTCCAATCCATCATATCATATTGAATCATATTGAATCATCCTTGGCCAGGGATTCGAAGCTCCAATGCCCAGTCGTGGACTCATTGGTGGCGACTGACCGCAGCTCCCAAAAAGTTGCCGGGCATTGCCGCGCTACGGGCAGATTGTAGCAAAGGCTTGTGTTGCATATGTACCTTAAGAATCCTTAAGCGATTACTAACTGGAACAAGACATTTTTTTGAAAACATATCTTCAACAAGTCTTAATTAATATGACAGTGTGTCAAAACCTTGTACCCCTGGTGAACATCAAAATAGCTGGTAAATTTTAAATGGATGTTCATCCCATTAAAAATGGTATTAATAGGTATTGATCCATACCCATATCTTAATATATCGCCCTATCCTATCATATCGCTGGATTATTGAGCACCATCTGACGCACCATCGTTCCATTTCAGGGATTTGACCAGAATCCTGCGGCGTGTCCCGCCAGAACGATCGGATTGGAAGCGCACGAGGGGCCATCGAGGCAGGCCATGGGCTGTGCTGCATGCCTTGCTGCTGTTTCTTATCATCTATTCTCCATGATCCCAAGGATTGAGTAAACTCAATACCCTCTGGTAATTTAACATAGCTATTGAAAATGGCCCAGTCGAAATAGTGGATTTACCCATAAAAAATGGTGATTTTCCATAGTTATGTAAACGTTTACCAGAGGGTAACTGATGGATACTGATCGCCCAATATCTCCCAATAGCGCCCGGATTTGTCAGGTCAAGGAACATCCATGGGTCTCTGAGGCACTTGCTTCGCTTGGGATGTGACAATGGGATTTTTGATTAACCGAGCCGTGCCGATTTGTGCCAGCCGTATGGGATGGATGTAAAAACCTTTACGGAAAAACATGGAAAAACAACAGAACTGGTCAACTGTGGCATTATCAAAATGGAAACATCCTGGGCCGCAATGGACGCGGCTGTTGAATTTTGATCGATGCAGTGACTGCAGCTGGTTCAACAGCTAAATGTAGTCATTCAGCTGCAGCCATGCAGACATGAACAAATTCTGAATCCCACACATTTTTGTTTTTGTAGACCAAACAACTTGGGTAAAAATATCGGAATACCGATCTCATGTTTTCTTGGCTCCCTGAAGGACCTAGCACTTCATACCACTTCTAGCCTGGATCAGCAAAATTGTCTCATCAGCACCGGAGATACGTGCATTTCAGGATGGAACAGCAGCACGATGACAGAACGGTTTCGACAGGATGGTTCTTTATATCAGAGAATGGCTCAAGATTATGGTTCCTTCCCCCCATTTTGGGATGGGTACATAATGGTAAATAACCAAGTTGGGATGAGTAAAGCACCAAGATATCGAACAGCTACCAACAACAAATTTGGCACACACCCTTGGTATCTAACAACTACCAACCACAAAATGGGTAACTTTGGCGGGTCTTTTGGTGCCTGATTTTTGCCTCACGCCCTTGGGATTCGTGCCATTGGCGCCAACTTCGCCATGAAGTTCACGGAGGTGTTAGAGGAAGCTTCAAATTGGGATGGTTTGAGCAGCCCCTTTGAACAACGAACATCTTTGAACGAGGTTCAAAACAACCTGATATAATGGGATTAAGATGGATTAAGCCCTCCAATTGGATGGTTTAATGACATTTACTGCCTAAGGATACAAAGGAGTGGGTTTCGTGTCCGTTGGTAAGGCATTATTGAACCATTGCTGGATGAATCTGTCGCGTGCCAGTTTGAGTAAAGAGCGTCTGTCAGTTTGAGGTTGAATCCCCCTTAAAAATACCACCAACATATTCCTCCCCCAGCTGTCATGCAACTGTGGCGTTCGCTGCATAACTGCATAATCCAATCCCAAACTGATCCTTCATTTCACGCTCTTCAGGAGAATATGCTCTTAAGATGGCGTGCCTACTACGTCAACTACAGGCTAGAACTTCATGGCGATGTTGGCAAACACGTTAGCAAAGATGTTGGCAAAGATGTTGGCAAACATGTTTCAACATGTTTCAACTATAGTCATGTTTCGACTATTTTGAACTTCATTGCTGGTTGTCCAGTGTCGGCCAGGGCGATGAAGTTATGCATTGAGGAGATCGAAGCAGATCCATCTTCGTCGAATGCACACTTCCTCACGTGCCCTGGACGCAGTGGTGCTTCTGTAAAAAGGAAATCCGTAGATGGTTCAACCTGAAGTTTCCATGTATCCATGGGTACTGGTGGTTTGAGAACCACTTGGACAGCCACAAAGTCATGACTCTCCTTTGGTTTGCACCCAGAAGAAATTGATTGAATGGTGGACCTTTGCTAGAACATCAAGAAATGGTTGTTGCTCAAACACTCAGTTTTTCAAGACAAATATATCAATATAAAATAATATAAATATATCATCTTCAATTGTATGCTTTGTTTGCTACTGGGCCAGCAATCATCATCCCGCTGGCGTGAACTTTGCACCGCCATCTCCGCTACCAGCACTATAATCATGAAACTGTGAAATCATGGTTGACTTCCCCCTTGTTGTGCTCCCCTTCCCTTCTTCCCTTCTTCCCTTCTTCCCTTCTTCCCTTCTTCCCTTCTTCCCTTCTTCCCTTCTTCCCGCCTCCTCCTCCTCCTCCTCCTCGTCATCGTCATCGTCATCGCCATCGTCATCGTCATCGTCATTGTCGTCGTCATCATCATCATCAGAAGCAGCAGCATCATCGCCACCACCACCAACATCAACATCAATCACTTTGCCATGATTCTTGCGAATATCATCACTATCAACGTGATCACTATCAACATGATCACTGTCAACAAGGGTACAGCGGTTGCTTTTTTTGGTCATCCTGCAGCCTTCTAAGACCATTTGACATATTTGAATGATCAATGTCATCGTAAATGCCATTGCATACAGGCAGAAACATTAATAGCTTAACCCTTAAGTTTGCGGCTTCATCATTGTGCTGGCCTTCCTCATTTTCCCTCTGCATAGACTAAGCAAGTGAAATGAGGGATGAGAAGTCGGGCCAAATCGGGGTTTGCAGCACGGCCTGGTCAGAACTCAACCCTTCCTGGCGACTCCTGGCAACCTCCGGCGACCCAGGATGCTCAAGAGTAACATGTTGAAGGCGCTCACCTTCTACGAAAAGACAGAGGAGAAACTTCAAAAAAAGCATCTCGCACTACACTTTTGAGGTCGAATCAAATTGGATGAAATGCTTGAAAACTCCTTCTGCAATCTAGGATGGTTGCAGAAAAGTGATTGTGAGGACAACTGCAGAGTGCAACAGTTCACACAACTCACCATGCCCGTGAAATCTCATCACAAGACTTCATGCAGCGCTTGGGTTTTGTTTCCAAGGATTGAACAGCATCTCGCCACCGAAACAAGGCCTCCGGCAGTGCTAGGTCTCTGAATGTCCGTGATCAGCTCTGAGTGATACCAAACATTTCTCGTGCTGGATACATGTCGCTGTGATCTCCAGCAGAACTCATATGTTGTACAAATGATCTAAGCAAGCTGTGTCTTCAACAATTAAATTGACATCATCTGACTAAATTCGATGCATTTGTTTTTGGCACTGGAACCATAGTCATTCCCAGAAACACTATGCCCGGCATAGGATGCCAAAGAGCCGAAAAGACCTGGAGCATGAGGCGACAGATCGGTGGGTGATGACTGTCATGACCCCCAAAAGATAGGTAGATGATGGTAGATGAACATCCCAACATCAAATTATGGCCTGGAAATTGCATGGATACTCCTTTCCTTTTCGGGATTTGGATGGATTTGGGAGGTTCACTAAGGTACGTGGACCCACAGCCACGATTTTTGCGACAACCTCAAGAGGATAGTGGGTTGCTGCTAGTTTGGCCATAGGAACACAGGAAAATGTGTCCAAAGTGCCAAGGTTAAGAAAATTAACTGTGTCGCCTGCACCAGAGAAGAGTCTGTTTGTTACAATGAATAGCTAGCTTTTGAGGTGAAAGATTTGCGATGGTATGCGCACTACAACAAGGAGGCCATTCGAAAGATTGCCAAGAAGTGCCCAGCCGAATGCCTAAAGGATTATGTTTGTAATCCAGACTGCTTAGGTAAATTTGGGCCAGCATTTCAGAAGGAGCTACAAATGTGTTTTCTTTTCCTTTGAAAGATTAGGTTTGGAATATATTAAGTTGAATATGGGCCATGTTCTTCATCACTTTTTGTGGCAGTACTAGGACAGCTTCACAGTGATTTGCCGGAAATCCGATGAGATCTAAGTTGTCTAAATCAACCATTCAGGCCCGATATGTGGCGATCCAGGTACGACAAACGATGTGGCAAGTCGAAGACGATGCAGGCGCCAAGCAAGGATAACCAAGGGGGGTGTCTCTACATGTTGGGGGTTGCAGCAGTGGCATGTTGTAGGCATCAGCTTGGCGGCGGACCTATACTATTTAAAGTAGCATCAAACACAAGCTGACAACATTGACAACTGGTTCGCCTCTTGTTTATGTAGGAATTAAGTGCGCACATTCTTCATGCCATCAATGTAATGAGCACACAACGGTGAAATTGTACCCCACCCTGAATTCACGAATTTGCTGACCTGACAATGCAGGGGCCATCCCACCAAAACTGTCCTCTACTCTGGGGAGATTGGATGCTCACAAAAGCTCACCCCATTGCCGGACAGCTTTCAGATGGTCTTAGTTCATAAAATGACAGTATCAATGGATATCAATGGATACCAATGGATATCAATGGATATCAATGGATATCAATGGATATCAATGGATATCAATGGATATCAATCAATGATTGTTTATTGTTTATACCAAATATACCAATTGATGCCCCAGACTCCTGGATTGTTTCACATATCCTCCATGGCAGCTTGAGGCTGATCTCATGGAGACTCTGCACCATTCCTTGATGGCCAACGCTGATCAGCGCTGCACCGCATTGCTTGAAAGCTTGGAGGAGTGCCGCAGGATGGGGATGCCGCAGGATGTCACATTCCATGACCAGCTTGACATAGATTGACATTGTGACATATGGGTATGTCTGAAAATGTTGGGTATATTCCCAATGAAATAGCCATTTAGTAGGGATAATGATCAGCAAAACCATTGGGTGTAGGGGTACACAACATTTTCAGACAAACCCATATGGCGAAACCTCTGTAATTGATTGTGACATATTGTGACTATAGAATACTATAGATATTCAATGATATTGTCACTGTTTCTGGGTTGAGTACAGAAAGAGTTTGGTGGGAGAGATAACCCATTCACACAGTAAATAAATACTTCTGGAAGAAAGGACCAACCAACCACCGCCAAAGGCAACGGCCTCGCTTGTGCCCGTGGATTTGTCTCGCTTGTGCCCGGGTAGCGCCTTTCCACTCGAGCTACTGGGTTTTGCCCCAGCAGACCAAGTTGAAGTAGACCCTTAGTGCTTGTATGTGTGCATTATGTTGCTGCATGCCCCCATGTCCTTCCCCGCCTGGTCCCCAAGTCCCCCCGCCATGTCCCTTAAGTAGATCCAACATGTTTATTTTTCTACATCTGGATCCTCTAGGAGTGCGTTGTGTGGCTGCATGCCCCCATGTCCCTCCCTGGTCACCAAGTCTCCCCCCATGTCCCCTAAAAGTAGGCCCTAAATGGTTGTGTTTCTACATAAAGGTATGTTTAGGTTAATCTGGGCGCAAGTGAATCGTTTCTAGGGGCGCTGGTCAGCGGCTGGTCCCCATCCAAAAGCCAGATGGACGGTTGGTGGCACAACCAGTGGGATGTTCCAAGCATTTCCAAGCCATCACTTCCCCTTGTAGCAGTCTAACATTACAACTGGCTGGGCTTTACCCAGTACCAGGATTCTGAGGGCGAGCTGCCCTTGACGCAACCTTTGTTGCGAACCGAGCTGGATTCGCTGCTGGACTCAACTGTTTGAAACATGATTCAAAATGCAGGTGGATGGTTTTTGAGTGCAGTTGGAGTGGGCTCTCGGGCAAATACATTCGAGGTTTTTACATTTTTTGAATATTCTCAACAGCAGTGACTGTTAGGTTTCAATCTATGAAACTGGAACGGAACACTGGAACATACTGGAACCCTGCAAACCTGGATGCCTGGAAACCTGGAATCCGGAACCTGCTGTTGGGTTGCAACGCTGGGTTAAGAAAAACACCAGCTAAAGTATGCTTGCAACCAGCCAAAACAAAACAAATATTGACCAGCGGCTTTACTGTTCTGAAAAAAAACATGCTCAGATCCGTGAACTAGCAATCGGGTGCAGGGTTACAAGGCTCATGCTCGCTTTGTGACAGTTCAGCCTGGCAAAACTACATAGACCTGTGCAAAAACAGTGCAAGAAACTAGCTAAATGCAGGATAGAGAGTAATTAGCAGCATCTTGCTTCGTTTCATGGCGTTTTAGTGGCATTTTCATGGCATTCAAAGAGCATTATTCAAAGACGATGTGGCTGCCAGACTCGAGGTTGCGCAAGCACTCTCGGGTACTGCAGCCAGTTCTCGAGCGTCACACACGAGAAGGCAACCGACATCTCAGTTCCACACGCGGGTTTCCCCCTTCACTATCCTTCACCATGATATTCGATCAGTCCATTGAACAAGGAATTGGAGGGAGTCAGCATCCAAATTGGGAGTCAGAGGTCCGCAACGGCTGATTGAGACATGTCCAACATGGTTGCAGAGTCAAACAAAGACAAACCAATAAGCAGACATGTAAAGAAGTATAAAGAAGCCAGCCGCGCTATAGGGTGACATTATTTAGATAGGTCAATCTTGTTCCAATCACATCAGCTGTTCATATTTTCTGACTCACTCCACCACTCATGTATGACTCGGCCGTTGTGCCCGTGCGACTCAGCTGGCCTGACTCACCCGTCACCCATGAAAAAACCCTAAAATTTCATTTGGTTATTAGTTATTATATATATATAAATATATGGTACAGGCCTGCAACCCCCCCCTCCCCCCCCGCGATGGGGATGGTTCCTAGGATTGGGTGTACTTCCTCCCTGGAATCCAACTATCATGCAAGGTACATACATGCTTCCCCGCCCCCCCCCTGTGGGGTGGATTGGGTGTAGTATGTATGTACCTACGTAGGTTGGTAGGTATAGGCATGTATGTATGTATGTAATGTAATGTAATGTAATGTAATGCAATGCAATGCAATGCAATGCAATGCAATGTAATGTAATGTAATGCAATGTATGTATGTATGTAACTGTATGTATGGGGATGGTTCCTGGGGATGGGTGTCTGAGGGGGAATACGATTGGGGGGGGGGTTGCCGGCCGCCGGCCGGGACCATATATGTATGTATATATATATATAAAATTAAGGGGCTACGCCCCCTGCCGCTGACCTCGGTGGTCCTTGGCCTTTCGTGGCTCCTGCTGGACAAGCAGCACAAGGACCGGATAGTCACTAGTCTCCTGGACAGGGAGCAGAGCCCTGAACAGGGGCCACATATATATGTTTGTAAACTCCTGAACAGGGAGGGCCTTGCATAGAGGCACTTATGGGCGGTATCTGGGGGGTAGTTTGGTGTACAGTGTGTGTGTGTGCGTGTGTCTTTGGAAGTGTGTTGATGTTTGTGTTTGTGCGTAGTTGTTCGAAGCTTGATGGTGCCGGTTGGGCATGAGAGTCTCTGGTACTTCTTTTGGGTTCGTGGTTTATGGGAAGGACGGGATGGTTAGAGGGAAGTGTAGGTGAATGTAGCTGTTTGGTCACGATGCGTCTGAATAGGGAGGTTGTGTCCTGAGCGGGGTCGAGTTTTTTTGTTGCTGAGGCAGTGGGAGGAAGGGACGGAGGATGTGTGACTGTCTTTTTTTATGATTGAGCTCCTGAAAAGGGAGGCTGTGTCCTGAACAGGGACCTTCTTTGTTGGTTTGGGTTAGTGTGGGCTTTGTCCTTTTCGGTGTTTAAGCTCCTGAACAGGGAGGCTGTGTCCTGAACAGGGGCCTTTTTTGTTGATTTGGGTTGGTGTGGGCTTTGTCCTTTTCGGTGTTTAAGCTGCTGAACAGGGCTGCGTCCGGAACAGGGACTATCTTTTTTGTTGTGCCGGTGATACACTGTTTGCTATCTTTTTTCTTGGCCCGGTTTTTGGAGGGAAGGTTTGGGCGGGAGCAAGGAAGTGCCAAAGAGTAGGGACGACAAGCATCAATGATGGTGATACATTTCATGCCAAAGACGAGAAACGACAAGTATCAATGCAAGTGGGTACACTATGTGCCAAGGCCTAGAATGAAGGTAGGTACGCTTTTTGCCAACGACTATGACTAAGGACCAGTATCAATGTTGGTAGGTACACTTTTTGCTAAGGACCAGAGACGAGAAGTATGAATGACAGTAGTCACACTTTTTGCCATAGACCAGAAATGCCATTGCCATAGACCAGAAATGCTAAGTATGAATGATAGTAGGCGCACTTTTTGTTTCAGACTAGAAACTCGAAGTATCTGTGACAGTAGGTGCACTTTGTGCCAAAGACTGGAAACGACAAGTATCAATGACCGGCAGCTATACTTGCAGCCAGGGACGAGAAATGACAAGTATCAATGCTGGTAGGTACACTTTTCGCCCATGACAAGAAACGACAAGTATCAAGGACGGTAAGCACATTTTTTGCTAAAGACTAGAAACGAGAACTACAGATGACGGTAGGTGCACTTTTTGCCTAAGACTAGAAACGACAGGTATCAAGGACGGTAGGTGCAGATTTTGCTAAAGACTAGAAACGACAAGCATCGTTGATGGTAGGTACAGTTTTTGCCACAAAAGAGTGCTGTGTGTGGCGTGCATGCGTGCGTACGTGTGTGTGCGTTGTGCGTTGTGCGTTGTGCGTTGTGCGTGTGCGTGTGCGTGTGTGTGTGTGTCTGTGTGTGTGTGTCTGTGTGTGTGGGCGTGTGTAAGCTACATATCATAGAAAATAAATGACCTGACATGTGCATATGCATATTTATATTATATTATGTATATGGGTTTGCATATAGACAAAGATATGTATATATATATATGAGAGAGATCTGGGGGCCATAGCGAGAGAGAAGGAGAGAAAAGCAACATGTTCCAATGCTGCATGCTTCTCCCAAAAAGAATGGCTTCAAATATCTGGAAGGCAAAAAAGCTTCAAAAAGGAACCCCCCGGGGGGGGGGTGCAGGTGTTGAAGCATGCAGTTGACAAACCTGGCTTACAAGTTTTGTGGTGATATGTGGGCAGTGAGGTGTGTCTAGGTGATTGTGGTGTACTAGAATGGCGCATTGCAGAGAGACAAATGTGTGAGCATGGGCTACATGTGAAAGCTGTATGGTCCGGTGACCTCGCATCGTCGCCATGCCCGCATCGAAGCAATATTCGAGGAGCCATTGAAGCGTCGTGCACGGCGGGCGCTTGCCCGGAGTCACGGCAGCAAACGAGCGGTTGCAGTGGTTTTGCTGTTCTTGAGGTGTTTTGGAATTGTTTTTGACCAGAAAGTGTTGTCTTTCGGTGCCGAGTGAGGATGAGGCTGCCCGACTGAGTCTTGGCAGCAGGCATGCATCGCATCATGCTGGGCTGGGCACATTTGTTGTGTGAACGTAGAACGACGTGATTCAATGTTTGCAGTTCTAATGAGGTTTTTGATGCGGTCGCTGTGTCAGTGCTGAACTGAGGAGAGTGGAGGAGGTTGCTGCATGTGAGAAGGAGCTTTTTTTCTTGTGCTATGCTGGCTGGCGGGTGTGTGCGTTTGTGTGTCCATATAGTGGTTGGGCACACGAAGGGTGCATGGTCGGGTATTGAGGGGGATCTTCACAGATAGGCTTGTTTGTTTCTGGGTACGCAAGACTGGATTTTGCTGTAACGACCATCTGGTGTGATGAGTCATGGTAGCCGCGGCTGAATTGAGGGCAAAGAAGGAAAGTAGACGCTTGTCGGTGGAACTCTCCAAGGTTGCAAGCCAGTGTCTCGGCAAAAGTGCTGCGCAGAGGTTGTCGTGTGTAATGGCAGGGTGAAACACTTTTTTTAGGGTGATTTTGCGATTTGTTTGTGTTGGGATTGGGAGAGTAGAGGTATCAGCGATTTGATGTTGGGGGACGATCAGTTCCTTTGTGATGGTTTCGTGGCTTTGTTTGAAGCCAAGGTCGCATTTGAAGGACAGAGAGATGGCCATGATGAGAAAGGAGTGTCCGAGTTGCATAGAAAGGGGTACGCAGTCGATTTTGCGGTCTGCCATGCAGCGATACGGGGAAGTGCCTTCGACAAGAATTTGATGTTTGTCCTAGGTGCAAGAGACGCGACGAGGCAAATCTTCGCGCAGCAAAGGAGTGGCTTGTGCGCAATGGTCGGAGCAGCAGGGAAAATGTTTCTTGTGCTTTTGGGGCCTTGCGCTTTTGAGGTTTGCGAAAAAGGAATGCGAAAGGTGTCGTGGCCAGTAGTTGCGCTGACTGGGCATATGTTTATTTCAATCATTCCAATGTCATTGGCGATCTTGGCTTAGATCACTGTGGGCTCGAAAGGGGACAGGCAGTGGTTCTGCTCAGTAGAGTGTTCTTCTTGGAACCTTTGAGTAGAAATCCGTTCCTGGTTGTGACCCAGGTACAAAAAATGCGTCGATGCAACCATCCAAGCAGACAAGCAGTGACTCGGGTCACGGTTGACGTTATTCCTGTTACATTTGTGCCCCACGTTTTGCAGTGGTACAGCATCTCGGGAATCATAATTCGAATGTGGTTCGTGCCAGAAGCAGTGTTGAAGATGTGGCGAGGGCCTGTTCGTACCATTGAGGCAAGTAGCGAAGGAGCGTGAGGAGTGTCTTTGTCTGTCTTATGTGGGAGGATGTTGGGCCACCTGCCGCAACGAAAACAACACGAATTGTAACCTGTTTCCAAATAAATGCTCACCCAACTCAACATATACACTAATACCTAATACCCAATCGAGTTCAAGAATAGGAATCCGTTCCCCATGATTGGACGCATTCATATTTACGTGGAACGCCACTCTACCCTGGACTATCGATGCAATCTTTCGGGCACAAAAGCACCCGAATTACCTGGGAAAGAACAATCCATCGACCAAGCGTGTCTGAATTCCTAACACATGACCAATGTTTTCAAGTATTAGTTTCTGTTCCAGTCTCTGAGAATCAAGTTTTTGTGTTATGAATGAGGTTGTGGCAGAGGGAACAGAAGAGAGAGGTTGGCCTTAGGGCAGCGCTTGAAGCTCGTCAGTTGGTCGAGAAACGACAGAAGGCTGGCTGCACATAGCTGAGCTGGGGAGTGGAAGTGTTAGTGTTCTGATTGTAGCTTGGTTTGGTTTCATGCAGTGGGATTCGTCATGCAAAGAGTTCGGTGCTGAGCAGGGAAAGCTACGGTAGTGGAATACGGTTTCATATCGCGTCGTAGGCGTCACAGTTGGAGATGCAGAACCAGTTGAGAGCTGCGCTGGATAAAGCGCAATACTATCAGAAGCTGCTGGAAGAGGAGAAGCAGTGGAGGAAGGCAGGGCTGGTTTGGCCGCTTGTGTCACATTGAGTGAAAATTGG